TCTGTCTTCTTGTTCTCTTTTTACTTGATTTTGTCCACTGTTTCTGTAGTGACACATTTCATACGATGATGTTTTCTCAAATCCAAATCATCTTAACACGTTTGAGTTAATGCTACTTTGATAATTTTCCAGTAGTCCTCCATAATAGATTCTTCTTGTTTCATTACATCGTTTAAAGCTTTGAACGTGTTGTTGAAAGCTATCTTGAATGCAATGCGTGTTTAGTATTTCGAATGAAGGCTGTGTTAAGCTACCACCAGGTGATGATCTGTAGCCTACGTCTACTCCACTCCTGGTTCTCACTTCTTCCGTTGTGTTTCGGAAATTTTTTGTCGATGCACATTTGATATTTCTGCTCTTCTGTGATGTGCTCCGGTGAGATTCATGCAACTTTGTGAGTAAACGTTTGTGCGAAAAGTATTGAGCAATTTGATAAATGCACATAGATTTGCAAATATTTCTCCATTTTCGTTTCTCTCTCCTACCCCATGGCGTCCCATGATTTCTTCATATCCTCTTTTGACTATTTAAGCTTTTGAATTTAGATCACTCATGAGAATGCTGTGATCCTTTCTCGGAGACCACATTATGATTGACTGCAGTATCGTCATCATTACTATCATTGATGAGGGCATAACATTTCATAATATAAATTGCGATTCCTCTTTGTTTTGAATGATGCATTGATAATTGTGAATCTGTAAAAATTCGATTCTACAAGTGCATTTCGTGCTTTGTTAGACGGCATTACAGCAACTCTCTGAGTGCATGTAGCATTTTCCTTTTCTTTTCCAAAGTATAGCAGCACTACATCTAACACTTTCTGTTAAGCTTCAGACCAATGGGTTTCGCTGATTCTTAGTACTGTCAAATTGTATCTCATCGTTTCCGTTGCTTTTCGACTGGTCTACACAACCCAACATATTGTTCCGACGTTCCATGTACCTTTAAAAATGTTTACTTTTGTTGTTAGAAAAGGGCATCAGCTTCACGTCTTCCAAAGAAATTCATCTTCACCATGAACTCTTATTTTTCCTAATGAAGACCTTCTAACTTAAAGGACTGAGTATGAACGGCTTGTATTATTTTTTTCTAATTAACGATTTTTAAGCGAATTAGTTTTTTGGCAGGATGGGTTGCCTACCTGATGATCGACATCCGATTTTTACCCGGGTATAAGAACAACAGCAAAACCAGGAAAGCTACAGACGAAGTTTTCACTGCAGTACTCCTTATTTTACTGTTTTATTTCAGGTTCGTATGTTATAGATGGATATAATGAAATGGAGAAGTGATAAACTCTATTGATGACATAAACATCAACATTTTAAATACAACATTTTCAAGTAAAATTGTAGGGTGAAAACTGGAAGGTTTTAGGACACTGAGAAGCAGTTTTACATTGATAATACATTCGTTGAATAATATTAGGTATTTGTTACATTTGAAATAATAAATAAGGTTTGCAACACAGATGAATTGTTTCGAGGAAGTTTTTTCTATGAGATGGATGGTTTTTTCGTGTAGCTTTAATTGTACTTCCGTAGGACATCATAGGCACAAATGTCAGATACTCGTAGCAAAACGATTGTGTTCTATTGACTTCTATCATCCGATAATAAACTGTAGTGACTGCATCTTATTAATTTCTGATTTCAAACACCGTTGACATGTTTCAAAATAACGGTAACACAGATTGTTCATTAACGAAGCCAAACCACTACACTTTAATCGTCACGATAATAGTTTAAATAGTTTGTGAACTATGCATTTCTAATTAGAACATGACTTTTTCAATCCTCATGTCAAATAAGGTATCATTGTCTTTTATTATCAACCAAACTGTTTTGATATCATTTAAGTATTCACATTCAATCTTTTATATTGTCTGACAAAAGCGTTTCATTTCTTCTCTCTCTTGCTCAAGAACTCAGTTAAATTTATCTTAGAACATCACTATATGGACACAAAATTCAATACAAAAAGCATGCAGTCAAAATTATCTATACATTTTATGTATTATAAATATACATGTTTCATTAATAATTTTGTCATATAAAGATAATCTGTGAACCTGTAACAGCATGGGTAGGTTGGTTGACAGTTGACCTCAAAAAACCAAGCATATGCTTAAAAAGTATAGGTCAAGTATTCATTCACTTCCTTATTTTGCGTAGGCACTATATTTCCTATTATCTTATATTGAATGAATTGGAGTTGATGCGATGGCATGACTAGACCATGCAGGTGTGGTCCCTCTGAAATGTTACATAATATCTTCTATTCATAATAAATATTTTGTTCTTTCTCTAGCGTAAGCTTGTACTACATCATGTATTGGTAACTGTTACGACACAGTGAGTCGGTGTAAACGAAGATTTAACTTCAACGTGAGATCTCATAATTTAGGCAGTTATATCATGACGAATCTACAATTTTTGGATTAGGACTATTATTAAAGCAGTACTAATATCATTGGATTCCATAATTCTACAGATCCATTGAATATTTATTGAAAACAAATCAATTACAATTCACATATTTTTAGCGGAATATTGTAGTAAATAATAAAGATTTTTCACGATTCATATGACTAATTGATGAAAGCTAAACCTTAGTTGAAACACATTAAATAACGAAAGATCGATTTTTAATGGCACACAGCACTCGAGCATGTGTCCGCCATATTTAGACTAGAATGTAAACGCCTGGAGCCGCAACCATTTTTCCTATGTCATATCCGAACGACACAGTGAGTCGGTGTGGACGAAGATGTAAATTCAACGTGAGATCTTATAGATTAGGCAGTTATATCATGACAAATCTACAATTTTGGGACTATGTCTGTTAGTAAAGCAGTAATAATGACATAGTAGACCATAATTCTACAGACCCTATGAATACGTATTCAGATTAAATAAACTATAATTTACATATATCTAGGGAAATTTTGTAGTTAATAATAAAGATTTTTCATGATTCATATGACTAATTGATCGAAGTTAAACGTCAGTTGAAATACATTAAATAATGAAAGATCATTTCATAATGGCACACAGCACTCGAGCATGTATCCGCAAAATTTAGACTAGGATGGAGCTGCAACCATTTGTCCAATGTTACATCCAAAAAGAGACCCGATATGTATTAAGTGCTGGAGATTATTTATGGACCGTCATATATTTATTCTTATTGTATAACTATGAGGCAACTGGCTTATTTGTACATATTCAAATTACTTTCGACACAAGCTTCTATTCAACCTGTTGAATACTATTATATGATTTACAACTATTTATTCATTCTCACTTTACAGGTGCCCGTTTCTTAAATTCAAAATCGCTTTTGGATTGATCTCATATAACTAGTGTTTTCTTTTACGGTATGATGCGATATTGTTCGTTTGTATAAATGAAATTATGATTTATATCACAATTTATATCTTATTCAAAAATACGTATACTTATTCATCATAACTGGTGGTGACGTATGTGTTTTCTTTCAGTATAACAACAGTTACCGAGATATCGTGGAGTGATTTTGAATAAATGTTCTCAAATACAAGCGCACAATTTTCAGAATAAATGCACCACAATGAGAGAGGTTGCAACTCACATGTCATTTGACTATCAGACGGTAGAACGTCTCTGAATACACTCAAATTTTGTGGGGTCCTTGATAAACGACGGTCAATATGACCACTTGTTGTCAGTGTATTTTGACATTTTAGACAAATCAGATACAAGAACAACTTGAAGAGCAGCAATTGAAAAATATTATTAAACAAAGGCTTCATCGGGACAGGTCAGAATAAAAAAGTAGGGAAATCAACAATAACGGTGAATTAGAAGTTTGAGAGACGCTGGATGCAACGTTTAAGAGAAGAAAGTTTTGTTGCCTACCTTTAAGTCTAAGTAAGATGTTTAATGTTGTCTGGCTAATTAATGGAATACATTAACCCCATATGTCAAAGTCACGACACGCCTTTACTTGAGAAGTATGGTTGTTGAACGAATCATTTCAGCCGATTCGGATCGTTGTAAGTTCAAGTATAACCAAAATGTCTTTATTCAGGAAATTAATACCAACAAACGAAGATCTGTTTAACAGATTATCTATTATTAATGACAGTGCACTTTACAATTATCTTCAAACTATTCATCATGAACGCATATGAATATATGTAAACAAATTTAGACAATCAGTGAGGAAGCTTCGAGCTATTGTGTCCAATCCTTTTCTCATTTTATGAATGACAATCGATGATTGCATTTAAAGAAAATTGTAAAGCGATTACAAGTATGATATTTTCAAACAATAATACAAAAACACTGTAGAGTGTTGAAATCTGTTCTCGTTCATGGTATTTCTTCAGACAATATTTTGTGAATGTCATCACCTGTGTTTATGAAAACGTAGATGATTACTTCATCATTGAAGCATTGTTATCAGTATATGCATCATTGAAATAATAGACATATACAAATACAGGGTTAAAAATGTCGTAGTTTCTCAACATTCATACATAAAAAGTGAACTGTACGTAATTTGTATTTTGATCTGTCAATTATTGACAGATGGTCAATAATGCTTCTTAGTTCTACATATTATAGAAGGATATATATATGGCAGCATAATAATCGATGGACCATGTGTAATTGCAATTGTTTATTTTTTCAGAACTTACAATGAACATTGCGCCGCACCAACAAACCATGACTGCAACTTGTAGGCCAGTCTAAAATAATGGAAATAAAACAATTCAACTCAATTCATCATATATCTTCACAATTACTAATAACTCTTTTATCATTCGAGCGAACCATTAGTAAATAATTAGTAATCAATATTTATTTCTAGTTTGTGTAAATATTCGACTAGAAGAACTCACTGATTTTAGAATCAGCCACACAACCATGAGAATGAATCCAGTGAAAAGGAATCCACCAGACATTGCAAACAAGAGTATCTTCCATTTCCTTTTTATACGATCTGGCTTTTCACCTAAGAAAATGGCTATGATGAGGAGCAAGGTAGCCGTAGATATAGAAATAAGTTGTTCGTACCATTGTGCGGTAAATATTAGAAATGCAGCGCCGACATTTATAATGATCAACTGAATAAGGAAAAAAAGTTTGAAATTACTGTATGTTCAGAAGTTGAATCGTTAACAACTGAAAAAATAATGAAAGAATAAACATAAATGAATTTCATACTATTGAAATGCATGAAAATGAACATTCATGGATACAAGCACATAACAAGGAATGCTAATCAAAGTCTATCATAATGACAAACGCGAAATGATTTCAAACGAAATTCCCTCATCTTCAAAATATGACCTAAATATGTGAGGTTTATCATCTAAACAGTGTCAAATATACTAAATGGGTAAATAAACAACTCCGACAGCTAGTAATATCTGCGACTCAAGGCACTGAATGGTGACTTGCGTATCATAAAACACACTTTCAGTGATAGACAAAGCGTGTGGATGATAAAACAAATTAAAATGACAGAAATTCGATTTGTTTATTCATTCTATGTTCACAAGCAATTCCACTTCTTGAAAATGCTCATTACAACAAACATAGATTAGGGGAAAATTTATCTGTGTGATGCGCATACACGTCTATATATCTGTCAATTATCCATGACATTTAATGTTATATCATATTGCTTACATAACGAGGAACACTTATAGCCCACGATACAACAGAATCATTGGTGATCTGAGTTGTATACATTGACAGTTTTATTTAATCATTGAAACTATAGAAACTGGATCGCTAAACGTATTGTTATCTTCAAATTCAACATCGAATATAATCTGTTAAATTCAACATTCAAGGTTTCTTTAATGATGATATCCATTATCAGACAAACATAAGAACATTTTTATTATTCAACAAACAATATTACTAACTAAATTTAATCGATGGTTAAATGAAAATATCATGAATATCATTTTAAGCAATGTACAACTGACGGTTATCACTATGAATGTATTGTTCTTTCTGGGTGCAGTGAATAGTTGTCTATTGAATATTATTAATAATCCAAGAACTAATCCGATCAATCTGAAATACAATAGAAAACTATGTACATTATCATAATCTCACAGATACAATTAACCATAGTAATGTATATTTAATGTTCTACATAATCTTAATGCATGAAATGGTTGAACAGATTTTCCAGTGTCTCAGTTTGACATTTTCGAAATTTTGTCAAACTTGTCGGAATAATCCATGAGTGGATTACCTGATGAGTGATAGTCCTGTTTATCTCATTTCATAATGATCATTTGTTATAATGTGATGTAACACGAAATGAGAATGGTTTGTACTGGAAATAAATCAAATATCTTTCTTTTCCTCAGTCATATTATTCTTGAGAAACATGGATAAATTGCCTTGTTTTAGTGTACAATACATTTCATTGGATAGTGATGCACTGAAATTGTCGTTGTGATTTTTGTGCAATGCCTGTATTTAAAACATATATTACTTACGTTAATATTAGACCACTGAGAGCAATTGGATCTGGAAAACAAATAGTGCTGAATCTTTCAAATGGAGTGATAAAAGCCTTACGTGTATTCACAAGTTTGATTAACAGATTTGTTTGACGTATCACCAAGAATGGAGAAACTAAATCTTTCAAAGTGAATGACAAATGTCTTACTTGTACTCAGAAATATTCAGACACCCTGAATTATTAAAAAGCCTTTGGTTGCTAAGTCTGTCAAATGGAATCATAATCGTCTTACATGCAGAAATAATTAATGGTTAAATTTGTAAAATTACAATAGTTATCCGACTTCATTAATGTAACTTCAGTTAAGGTTTGCGAACGATTCGTCATTGAAATTTCAGTATTCACAATCAACAAATTTAATCTGAAATAATTAAACATTCACGAGATGGAGATATTTTATTTCATGAATTACATAAGACCTTAAATATTCATTCATATGGCTATTTCGTTCTTCAATAATTGCTTTTACACAAGTTTGGATTCATGGACAGAATCAGAATTACATCTGAATACTTCGCTTTATCATCTTTATGAGAATAACAACAAAGCTGGACAATCGATGAAAATCAATCTCATTAGATTCGCGCTACATGATTTCCGCACATGATGTTTTGTAGTGATCAACGTTGACGTGATCACTTCACTAATTACAATTAACCGTTAAAATATCTAATCACCCACATTAATGATACTCAACGAAAGTATGATTCTCTCTCCATTATTCTATGTAGAGAATTTCCGAAAACATTTTGTCGTATTTTGAAGTGTGCTTAAGGCAGTGAGTAGGGTGTACAGTTAATATTCAGGGATTATTATAGTTACGCATGTTGAAAGACATTGAAAATCTTGCAAACTACCAAAAATTGATTTTCTTCCAGAATTTGTGCCATCCAATTCTTCATTATCTTTCGACTTCAATAAGAATATCTCTTCTGTTTGTAAAAGACATTTGTTGGAATCATTTGTATTGAGTGTTCTGTATTGAAGTTAGTCTATAACATTAAACTCAACTGTTATTATTGCTACACGTAATACAACTTAACAACAAATCGTAACTCATTCTTAAATTAGAACTTTTGTTAGAAGTTAACAAACTCACATGGAATGATGTTCACAATGAAAATAATACAATAAAATTGCAGATATATATATATATATATAACGGAATACTCTTATTATTTTGAATCGTCTTTCTTCACTCATGAGTGCTTATTGCGTTCATTGAACTTTGGTTAAGTTAACTTTGTACAGAATACTAGAAAATGTGATTCGTTAGAAATAAAGCAAACTCATATTACTCTTAGTTCACTATTTGTGAATGAGTGATTCCACCTCGGAGTGAGAATAATTTGGTCGCCTTGACGTGCTGAATGGTTGAATGAAGTTTCTACAGAATAATGACGTCAGGTGAGACATCATCGAAATAATAATAATTGCCACACGTTTTTAAACAGAATGAATAGATATGTTGTCGGTCAGGACATATCTTCTACACCATCAGCATATACGTATTTGTGTAATGTGATTGTTGAAGTGAGTCGTTGAGGAAACCTAGACCTAGGTTTCATGTGACTACGTTGTCGTGAGAAAGCTTCAACTGTAGCCTTGAGGAGAGTAATGCTTACACTTACGTGTCTAACAGCCTGACAATTGGTGACGTGGTCCCTGAAATGTAATGAGTCTCAAATTAATTATCCCGTTGTTACGGTTTCATCGTCAATTCCCATTTTAATTATCCATTGTTGATATCACCCCCATATTTTGACAAATTATTCCGTCCTATAAGGTCAGTTACGAAGTTCATATTTATATATTTATTTATTTGCTTTCAATGAACAATACATAGCTCCACTGCCTTGTTGATTAGAACTTTAGGTTTAACGCTCCTGATGTGGCCTAATAAGAAATCCACCTGCTTCGGTCCGGGAATCCGGGTAGTAAGTGACTAGTGTGGCGCATATGTATTTGTAACCACCCTCCACTCCGCATCAGTATTTATGTGTTCGAATAAATAACAATAAATAAGTGCATTATATCTTGACTACATATTGAAATTCACCACACATATATGTACTTGAATTTGTTATATCTAAGCTGCCACAATTAAATGTTACTAATCATTGCTATTTAGTATGAATTTGTCATTATTTCATTTGAAAATTTAATAACAAGATAATTGAAATGCTGTATTCTTACGTGAAGCTATTACTCTTATTATTTAGCGCTAGTTTTTAGAATTATTTACATACATTTTTCAACTGTCATAGCAACAAACCATACTACTGTCAACTTTGATTACGGTTAATTTTGGTCAGGCGCTCAACTGAGTCACATGGCAACACCTCATCTGAAACCATCAAGCAAGACAAAGTAGAAGAAGATGAAAAATAAAGCATTAAATTGAGAAACGGAGAGAGACATGAGAAAAGTTACTAGAAGTGATGTTCCAGGACAGATTGGGTCGGAGAATGCTGGTCGAGGTATATGCTCCGTTAGGATTACAAGGAGTAAGAGAGTAAGCGAATACATTCAATTGTCATTTTGACAGACGATGTTATTTGAACAGTAGGATATCTCAGAAATATCAGTAGTTTCAGGATCACTATCTTTTCTATGCAAACGTGTACGCTTGGTCATATGATAGACTGTATCTACGAATGTTGTACACTTCAACATTGCTCGATGCTTCATTCTCTTTTCCATGTGTAAATGTACTCAATTTTTTTATGAATCTTTTCCTCAACTGTCTAAGTTTTATTCGACTTGACTGTAAATCACTCTCTATATTCGCTTGCATATATACATCCGCTTAAGTGCTTGAAGTTCGTTTGACGTGCTTGTAGATTTGTGATTAATCCCTTCCGCTTCTTACTAAAGTCTCACTTCAAAAATCGTCGAGAATTTTAATAAAAACGGTAACAAAGATTGCGTATTAGGAAGTCAAACCACTACTCTTTATTCGTCACGATAATAGTTTGAATAGTTTGCAAACTATGCATTTCTAATTAGAATATGACTTTTTCAATCCTCATTATTACGTGTCAAATAAGGTATCATTGTCTTTTATTATCAACCAAACTGTTTTGATATCATTTAAGTATTCACATTCCATCTTTTATATTGTCTGACAAATGAGTTTTATTTCTTCTCTCTCTCTCTCGGTAACTCAGTTAAATTTATTTTAGAACATCACTATATGAACTCAGCATTTAATACAAAAAACAATCTAACAAACAATCAACATTATCTATTCAGTTTCTTTATTATAGATATAAATGTTTCATTTATATTTTTGTCATATAACAATAATCAGTAGCCTCATTGACTATGTATTATTTAACAAATAAATTACAGTACAACTAATTCTCAAGAAATAATCATGTCAATAATAAAGATTTTTCACAATTCATGTGACTTATTGAATAAAGCTGAACCTCAGTTGAAATACTGTAAATATTGTAAGATCATTTTTTGTTAGCATTGAACACTGAAGAATATATATCCACGACCTACAGGCTTGAGTGTGAATGCCTGGAACTTTTACCATTAGTACAATGTAATAATAATAATAATAATAACATTTTGTTACATGAGGCATGCCAGTTTACAGGCAAGATCAAATTGATACAAATGATACAATATACACTGTAGTAAATTACATAGCTGGGTTGATAATTTATAAGATATGAATGTAGATGGTTTTATTCAGTACTACAGTTGGCGCGCTTCATGGAAAATGCGTTTCAAATGTGCAACTGATGGTCAAGGATGAGTATATTGAAGGTGAGAGCTTCTAAATGCCGCAACGTTATGTCCCTTTGGAATGTCTTAGGCTTCAAGGATGGTGCAGAATGAAGTCACCCGTTCCATATCTCAAGGGGTCTGAAAGAGGGAGCAAGTAAAAGAAAACACGAGAGGCAGAGTAGCCAATATTCATGAAGGAATGTTTAAGGTATGTTTAGTCAGTCTAATTTTCTTTTATTAGTGTATTTGTTAAGAAAGAGCAATTTCATGGGTTAAAGAAAATAAGTGTTAACAAGGTGTAATTGGACATACAACTGACAAATGAATGCGATTCGGAAAAAGCTGAGAGTATAAGTTTGTGTGATGAAAAAATTAAATATAGTGCTAGAAACAGTATTGTGATATACAATTGCCTGTCATCCTTTTATTATCGAAGCTATTAGAGCTCCTTTTATTTCTTTTACTTTTTTTTCAGGTATCATAGGTTCTTGAGTGAACTTCGTACATTAGCGAAAGGTCTAGGATTTATGGGTAGGAAGTGAAACCAATTCAACGTTCGTAACACGATTTAAAGAGGTATTTTGCGTGATCAATCAGCATCAATACCATAAGTTCGTGACATCCCACTAAACCATAAGGAGCCGTAATTGAACAAAATGTTCTGCCCTACAAACATGGGTGGATTGAAGTTATCCCCCCACCATCATGTTTGCTGGTCAGTAACGCTACCCTTTCTTCTTTTGTAATGTTAGGATCTGTTACGTTTGTGGTAAGTATGAATACTGCTTCAATCTAAGCCTATAGTTGGAATACACTGTCTCTACTAGGTCCATGTTACAAGCAAATCAGATAGTTGAAAAGTCTGTTTTCTAGATTAGATGTCCATATAGTATATCACACTGCTATGAAAATAACTAATGGTTTAAAGAAGTAAGGACTAATAGCAAATCAAAAGACATGAGAGGGTATAAAATTGTGGAAAAAAAAGAATTCAGTGTAAGATAAATAAAGCATTGAGAAACTCACAAGACATTGTGGCCAAATTTTGAGCTTTGAATGATCGGCCTGAGTAGATCAGAATCCATAAGATTGAGCCATCTATCTACTTGCAGTAGAAAAAAAACCTTAAATTTTAGGAAGAACAATGCACATTTAACCTGTGGAGATTTGGAAACTGAAAGCTAGGGTTAGGAGCAATAAGTCTTGATTAATAAATAATGAATAATGGGAAAGGATAAGCCATATATTCTGTGATTTGGTTATATTCATATTAGTAACAGTCAAACTTGTTATAATTTTGTTATTTCTAGATACCAGGCGGTCCGTAATAACGTGCCTCATTGGTGAGCGGGAGTTCAAGGAAACGTTGAAGCTCTTTGGAGTCTAGAAATTAGGTTATTAGCTTTTTGAATCTGGTAAACCTATCACAGTTACGGATAGGCATTAGTAGCCTGTTCCACAATAAACTATACCGTACAGTAAAGAACTTACAACGCATTTGTTTTTGGTGTTTTACGGTAACTAGTGTGTACGCGATGTTTCTAAGTCTATAGACTGGGTCTATAGACTGTCTCTGATATTCATATTAGAGAATACAAAAGAGCAGTATTCAAGGGGGGGTCGTACACACATTT